TAGGGAAAGGGGACTGATGATATAAAGGGGCCCAAGGGAATTTTCTGGAGTGATGGAAATATTCCATATCTTGATTGTGGTGGTATTTACATAACTGTCTATATTTTTCAAAACTCATATTATTCTGTACACCTCAAAAGTATGAATTATACCTCAATAGAAATGAATGCATATGTCCAGACTGGTACCCACACATAAAGGTAACTAGCAGCTTTACTTGTAATGGTTAAAAACTAGAAACACTCCAAATGTTCATCAACAGGTGAATGGACAACAGGTGGCATATCCATGCAATAGAACACCACTAAACAAAAGAAATGAGCCACCGACATACATGAAGCGCATGGCTGTATCTCAGAATAATTATGCTAAGTGGAAAAAAGCCAGACAACAAAAGAGCACATACTGTACAGCTTCATTTATATGAAACTCCAGAAAATGAAAACTTTTGTACGGTGACAGAAAGCAGATCAATGGCTTCAGGGGATGGCAGGGCAGGGAGGGGTGCGAGGGGAGGATTCAAAGGAGAAGAGGTAACTTCTGATGTCGTGGGCATGTTCACTATCTTGATTTGGTGAAACTGTCACGGATATATACATATGTCAAAATTTATCATATTACATGCTTTATCCTCATTATTTATAAATATAAATTCATATTCATAAAGTTATTTATAAATAACTTCATGGTATTCTATGGTATATACAATTATATTGTAAATTCTTAATCACCTCCCAACTGATAAATATTTCACTTGTTTGTAGTGCTTCATTATCAATTAATGCTATAACAAACATCCTAGTCTATGTTTTTCCTCACTTGTTTGTGTGTTTCCCTAGTTTACAAGTAAAACTGCTATATCAGAGGGTACATACATTTTAAATTTTGATGGAAACTACCCACTTCCCTCCGAAAACACTGTGGCCACAAACATTCCCAAGAGCGTGCAAGAGAGGTTTGCTTCCTCCCACTCTGGACCACATCTCTGACTCGAATCTTGATTATATATGTACAACACAAGTGCATGTACCACAACAGAAGACCATGAGAAACCATATTTGGGTCTAGAAGAAGAGAAACTAGATTTTTTAAAAATTATATCTTTAACATTTTTAGAAACTATTAGCAAAAAGAACCTTCTAGCAATTTCACATAAGTGTCTTGAAAACTTCCTTCTCCTCAGGCAGCCCCAGAGAGTTGCTGGGGAATACATCTCAAGAAAACTGTCAGGAGATGAGAAAATGCCCCAAACCGCCCAAACCGCATCTGAGCTGCCCAAACCAACCTCTTTGCAGTATCTGGAGCTCAATGCCCAAAGTGGGCAGAGCTCAGGGAGTTCAGCAGAGGGACAAGTTGTGACCCTCTGTGTGTAGGGGAGGCCTTCAGCTCTCCACCCCAAAGCTCAGGGAATACTTTTGGGGCCCAGTCACAAAAAAGCCAGCTGTTTCAATGCCTTCAACATCAAGTCAGAAAAGGGGCTCCTCTCTCAAATTGATGAAGAGGACCAGAACTTGCGCAGAATTTGGAATCCTTCAGGACACATCAGTTCAAATCCCAATTTGAGCACTGATCTCACTGAAGGATATGAGACAAGCCTCTTCACTTTGGCCTTAGTTTTCTCATCTGTAAAATGGGGATGGTGATAACACTGAGTTCATATGGTTGGACTTCCATGAGAATTAAACAGTCAGGAGATTATCAAGGTTGAGAACTCAGGATCTGCAGTATGGAAAACCTGACTCAGAATTCCAGCTCTGACAGCACAGCTGAGATCTCAGGCAAATCTCAGAGCCTGCTTTCCTCATCTATAGATGAACAATATAATGCCTCTATCAATCTCTTGGGGATTTTGATATGATTTAGAAAGAAATTTATGGAAAGTGATTAACACAGAGTCTAGCTGTGTTGTTATATTTTTTAAATGGCATTACATATATGATTGTTCTTTGAATCCACAAAAAATGGAAGTTATTGAACTTATTATAGAAACCTACTTAAACGAGTTGAAATTAACTTTTATCAATTTTAGAACAAACCCTATTTGATTGCCTGAGAGAAGAAATGAGTTTTCCCTAAACATTCTAAATTCTATTATCATGAAAAAGTAATTGTTGGCTGGCAGGAGATTAGAGCTTTTTTGCATAGATGCAAATCAAACCCTGTACTGAGGCCTCATCAGCATCTGTAAAATGGGTATAGTGGAGATCTCTGCCCTCCTGACACCTCATAGCTGTTGGCCCAAATGCACTACCCAGCCAGAAGTGACTGGTTCCCTTACCAGGTAAACTGGGCTTCGGTTGTTATCCATTGCAGGGATGCCAGTGAGGATCTCAGCTAACACCTGGAGAGCACAAGGAATTAGCACAGTTCAGGTACTCATGCACAAAGTCAGGCAGGAGATTCTGGCCAAGATGGAATATTTTTAACAAAGCCTGAGCTCCAGGCCTAGCTCTACCATTTTCCAGCACAGACACTTGCCCAAAATCTGTAACAGGAGACTATCACTGCACTTCCTCCAACTAAATATGCCACCCATCTGCTAGTTGAAGGTTTGAATTAACTGATAGCAAGGCAGGGAGGATGGAAACCAAATGTATCTGTATTATCATCAGTTTTACATATATATTATATATATATAATACACATATACATTTATATGTACATATAGTATATACACATATATGCATATACATATACACGCATATGTATATATGTATATTATATAATGTGTATATATACATTATATACGTACACACATACATATATCTCTAGATATATATATCTATATACACACACACTATATTTTAAAGGTAATTTCATTTAAAAACCCATCAGAAATGGTAAGCAAGCAATATTACATCAATCTCGGGAAAGAAGGAATCCATGTGCAGGAATCTATTCTATATAGAAAATTTCAGCAACATTTATAGCATGTTTCATTCATAGGCCTTTATTAACATCATTTGTTCATTACTTGATCCACTTACAAAAGGAGCACAGACTTGAGCCAGTGTAAGCCACTAGAGAATTGACAAACTGTGATACGTGTCTTAATAAACTGGAAACTTGCTTTGAACAGGAATTCTCAGTAGAGATAACGGCATGGTCGTTAAGAGCTCTACAGTCAGACAGGCCTGAATTCAAATTCTGACTTTGCTCCTTACATGTGCAAGTGATCTTTGGAAAAGTAACTAAAATGTAAGCCTATGTCCTCATCTGGTAAATGGGGATTTAGTGGTTGTGAATATAAGGGAGTGAGTACCCTACCTTTAATGTGAAATCTCTCTCCCACAACCTCTCTAGAAGCAACTCACAGTAAGTTCATATCTACTGCCAAGAAATCAATCCTTCCCTCCAAAGGAAGGGCCCACAGAGTTAATAACAAATTGGCAGTGGCCAGGAGGGGCAGCAGAGGGCACAGCTGCAGCAAGTGGACAGGAGCCAATTGAAAAGGGACTTCCCACCAGCTGCTCCTGCCAGAAAGGAAGGGAATAAGGGAAAATGAATAAACAAACATTTCCTCTGCCTCTTCGACAAGGCAGGCTCTGCACAGGGCCTTTTACAGAGATCATTTAGTGCTCACCAAAAAAACACTGAGAAATGCTATGTTCCCAAAAGGCGGAACCAAAGTTCAAAATCATATTGTCAGTCAGTGGCAGGGCTGAGAAAGAGTGCAGGGAGCCAGTGGTCATTCAATGAATAAAAGGATGGATGGAAGAATGAATGAATGAATGAATGAGGAATCGATTGTTACATCAAGAGCTGAGTTAAGAAGTCAAGAGTAAACAGAAATCAGGAGTGAGGGTATGAAGGTAGAAATAATAAAATAACTACTATAATAATAATAATCTTGATATGTGCAAGGTACTATGCTAGTTTATGTATATTAACTTATTAATCTCCATATATATATATCATTACCCCCATTTTACAGAGGATAAAACTGAGGCCCAGAGTTATAGGTGATATACCCTAGGTGACATTCCTGAAAGTAACTGAGCTGGGACTCAAACCCATACTCTTAATCTCTGCTCTACAGTGTCTGGCAGTCTTGGGGTTCAATCTCACTAGGTCTTAAAGGAGTAAGAGCCTGGGCAAGCCCTGCTGAGCTTCACCGAGCCACTCAGTGGGGCTGATGGGGGCAAGGAAACCAGAAGAGTTGATGGTCTGAGAGAAAGAGGAAAGCGGAATCTGACATGTGGAGGTCGGGCTAAGGGCAGAAGGTGGCTCAGGGAGAGGGCACTATTGGGAGAGGTGGACAGACAGGAGACTGGTCAGAGAGGAGTACAGAGTTTGAGGCAGGAGAGGGAGAGGGCAAGGTCCAAGATACAGCTGTTGGCTCTTGGCAGAGGTCAACCAGAAACTGTCAATTATCTCAGCCAGCCTTTCCTAGACTGGGTTCCATAGGACACTGATGCTGAGAGATACTGAGAAAACAAAGTTCCACAGTCAAATTAATTTAGAAAACACTGCATACTGTTTGCCCATCTGTGGTAAATTCACGATTATCAGATTAAAGGCTTATTAGCATATTAAAGGCTATAATTAATTTTGTGGTAAATAAATCTGCTTGACTTTACTAAACCCAGATTTCTCAAACTGATTTGGCCACAAAACCTTTAAACAGACCAAACCTATAGAGATCTCAAGGAACTGGTATTCTGTAGAAATATACACTGGAGACTACTACCCTCAGACCATGAGCTCTTGGGGGAAGGATTGTGTTTTAGCTACACTTGCAGTCCATATACAGTAATGACAGATAGGGTGGGGGCAAGGAGGGAGGTTGAATGAGTAGATGGATACTGAATGGATGGGTATCTATTGGATGGGTGGATGGATGGATGGATGTTGAATGGTTAGATTGATGATTGGAAAGATGGATGGACAACAGATATACAAAATAAGTGGATGAACAAATAAGAACAAACATAATTAGATAGACAATTAGATGGATGACTGGATGGGAAGGAATCAGGTAAGTCAGGAGATGATAACTGTAGCCTACTAGAATCTAGACACTCATGAGTGGCTTTACCTAGAGAGTTAGAAAACTTTTTCTGTAACAGGCTACAAAGTAAATATTTTAGGCTTTGTTGGCCACAAATCAAGTCTCTGCAACATATTTTTCTTTGCTTTACAATTATTATTATTTAATCTTTTATATACGTAAAAACTATTCTTAATTCTAGGCCATGGGCCAGTTTTGTCCTGTGAGCCATAGTTTGCTAACCCCTACTGTATTTTGATGGAACATATATCTGTGAGCCTCTATTATAGCCTGTGATTACAAAGGAGCCATGGAAAGGACAAATGAGTGAAGGCCAAAGTCTTCACTTTGAAGGAAGCTCTTACTATTCCACAGCTGAAGATGTCCACTCGCTTTGTCAGCTGCCCCACCCTGATGAAATCTTCTGGCAGATATGCAGCTGAGGCCTGGAAAAGGTGGGTCTTCATCATGGTGTATTTTGACCTTCTATTGAGAGGACACAGGTGAGCCATTGGATGGGCCAGCATGGGGGTGAAGTTTTGGTCTAGCAAAACATTGGAGCTGTGGAAAAGAAAGAAGAGCTCTCATTTTGGGCTGGACAAGAAGAGGTTGCCATGGAGACCCTTAGCAGTGAGCACTGTTGGCCCCAGCAAGTGAATCACTGAAGACCCTCAATATGAAGTCTCTGAGCCAGTCCTGAAAGGGGTGCCCACTCCCATCAGCAAATGTTGATGGAGCTAAGATTAATCCTGCTGCTTCAGAAATGGCATTTGGTGTGGCCAAAGAGTTGCAGCCATCCTGATCCCCACAGATGTCCACCCTGTCCAATCTCAGCTGGCCAAGTCCTTCCTAAGCTGTTCCAATGCCAAGCTCTGGCTCAGCTGACTCAAGTCTAAATGCCAACACTCTTTGTGACTGAACCTGCCCATGTTGTGGGGAATAAACAATAAAAATATTCTTGGATTCAGTCAACCAAACCATGGGAGTGAACTCTCAGAAAGTACCCCAAAGTGGGGTGGGGGGGTGGAGGGACAAAAAACTAAAGCTACATGTGTAAAAATATTTAGTGAAGAACTAACCCCTAACAGTAGCTTTTAAAGTAGACACCAGTTCTAATGTCTACTATTAGGAGTGGGTAAGTAAATTATGGGCAATCCCTGAAATGGAAGACTACTAAGAAGTCATCAAAAATAATGACATGCAATGTGGGGAAATATTTACCATGTTTAAATGGGAAAAAAGAATATGAATTTATAAGCAGATAACCATGCTACCTTAGAGCTAAGACTTCTGTGTGGGAGCCGAAAAGAGAAACAGAAAAATAGGAGGCAGCTTATGAGTCAGGGCTATGAGCCAAGATGACCTCTCATTCTTTCACTTCCTTTCTTGCTATTACAGTTGTTTGTGCAACCAAATAAGAATGAATGGAGAGAAAAGAGGAAAGAGCTTCCCCTTGCCAAATGGAGAGAGGACTTTAGGGAAGTGTGAGTTCTATGTTTTCAAGCTTAGTTTTGCCAAACTCTCTGGTATCTTCTGGAATCTCTCCCCATGCTGCCAGTCCCCAAATGGGGATCTCTTGTGCTTGGATATTTAGGAGCATGATACTGAGATACTGGGGTACACGCTAACCAGCAGGAAACCTTTCTGACTCAAGTTGCTTTCACCAACAGGTACACAAGCATGGGGGAGGGGTGGGAGGCAGGTCTTTGGGAAGACCCTAAGCACGGAGCTCAAAAC